CTCGTGTAGTGGTGCTGCCATATTTATAATAATATTTATTTCTACAAGGATTTTATTAAGTATTTAGCCGCCAGGTGGCCGCGTCATTTTATAATAGAAGCGATCACCTGATTGGCTTGTGCTTAAAACTCGTTACCTATAGGATGGCATTGACATACCTACATTATAATACAGTAGTCCAAAAAAATTACAGCCACCCCACATACTGAGAAGTTTTCACAATTTTTTCTTTGTTTAATTTTTGTAATTTTTTTTACATAAATATAGTCCATACTTTAACCAAAACAATACAAATCAAAGGTTCTACCATTTAGCAATATTAAAAAAAAACACATAATAATTAAACAAACTGGTAGAAACTACGAGCAAGTACCTTTTAGAATTTATCTGCCCTTCGAACACATTTTTTGAGAACAAAATTTGTTTTTAAAGGGCAGAAAAATTTTTAGAACTACTTCAGAAAACGGCCCTTAGAAAGATTTTGAGTATGCAGTTTTATAGAAACTCTGATTAAAAAGTAATTACAAAAAAAAATGTATTTAAAAATTTTTTTTTTGTGTTTTTTTCAGGACTTCGCGGAACTGTTTTCGGGACTATTAGGGAACTGTAGAACTCTTTATTTCTTGTAAGTTGGTCGTATCAGAACTGTTTTTTTCTGAATAAAGGCTTGCGCGTGAAGTTAACAAGCGATTTTTGTTTTTTAGCTTTGTTGTGTTAAATTAACAAAACTATTGAAAATTTGGTTAGGGAATCGTAGGACTATTGCCTTGCTGTGAGGAACTCTGATTAAAAAGTAATTTAAAAAAAAATAAAAAAAATTTGTGTAAGAAATTGTTTTTGGTTTTTTCGAGACTATTAGGGAACTGCAGACTTCTTTATTTCTCGTAAGTTGATGGTATCAGTGAGGACACGAATTTCGATACGATATGATACCATATCGATATTTTTGTCATTCTATACCGATACTTTTTACTCGATAGTTTTCAAACGATATTTTTTTGGATTCGAGTACCAGAGCCCTTGTATCGTATCGAATCGTAAATCTACATTATAATTTTAACGTACTTAATTAATAAAATATTTTACATTATATTAAAAATAATTGTCTTTCATTAAATTCTTTTTGATGTGCTTAAGGAAAAGTACATATCGTCGTTTAAAGTAAAAAATCGCGTATCAACAAAATGCAGAACCGCGTATCAAGATAATACAAAACCGAGTACGTAAGGCTGCATAAATTATTTTCTCATATTTCAAAATGATTCTCTTTTTTTATAAAGCAATCGCATTTCTGGCTAGCATATTTTAGGACGAATGAACAAGGATTGAGCCAAGAGCTTGTGTGAGCAAATCCAATTTTTGGCAGCAAATGTCAGTTACGCGGTTTTGCAGAATGACGATACGCGGTTTTGTACTTTAAACGACGATGTGTGCATTTCCAATCCGGCGTGCCGTAACGAAATGTTACAAAATAAATTGAAAGCGTCAAACTTTTAAAACTCTGGTAATAAGGCAAGACTATTTGTAAAAATTTTTCGTAGTTATAATTAAAATATTTAAGGTTAATTTTGGAAGTTCCAAAATGTAAAAATCTTTGCTGCTTTTTTTATCAGCCAAAGTGACGTTACGTTACTAAAATTTGCATTGAAAGTTTTTTTGTTAATATTATTTGTGAACTAATTTTTGATGGAATTTTTTATCTAGCGGTTCCCTTTTTTGCAAATCTATGTCGTACTCTGATCTTCTGCTGGAAAGGACCATATGCCGTTACTTTGTAATTTATGTGTAAAACAATGTGGATATATTTTGGGCTTTAAGGAGCACAATTGTGTACCATCTTAGCTCGGTATGTGGCGGGATTTCCACCCGCGGACTCGGTGATGTCAATTAACACGCTTACCTCTACATAAGCAAACACTTATTTAAGTGCAAAGTGATAATTCTTTATTAGAAAATGAGACCATTATTCAGATTTTATTTTTTTAATTTGGTATCGATATTTGGAATATCGAGTCTTTTTATCCCGATATTAATGGTATCGATATTTGGAATATCGAGTCTTTTTATCCCGATATTAATGGGCACCCGATACTTTTACAGCGATATTTCCAATGAGTACTACATCGATACTTTCGGTTCGATATCGTGTCCCTAGGTATCAGAACTGTTTTTCGTTTTTTAACTTTTTTGACTTTAATTAACAGAACTATTGAAAATTTGATTATTTAACTATGGAACTATTGCCTTGCTGTCAGGAACTCTAATTAAAAAATAACTTTAACAAAAAACGCTTGCTAACTTTACACAAGCTCATGCGTATGTACATAGCAGGGTTGTTGCGAATATTCGCATTCGCATTCGCAACCGCGGAGCTTCCGCATTAATTTTAACATTCGGATTCGCTTTCGCATTCGCAATAATCAATGCGGAGCTTTTGCGAATGCGAATGTTGAGCATCGTATATATGTATGGCAAACAAAATGACAAATTGTAGCCAATATTTTTGTCTGTGGTCGTGGGAGTATTTGTGTAACAAAACTGGTCAAATGTCATATATATTAACTTTGATAAAAATGTCTTTAACCATATTATTTGCTCAGCTAGATAACCAAGCTATCAATGGGCAGTGATACAAGTTCTCACTTCTACTTGACCTTTGACGTATGTCAAAGAGAACATAGTCCTTTTAATAATATATTTTTTTCCTGTGCTTTAACCCTCTAGTAGGCAGAAACGACTCCAGACGATCGTTAACTAAACACCTTTTTAGTGCACCTATAATAATTTTTTTCTATATTCGCAAGGCACGATCTTTAGACAAAAATCGTACCCTTACTAGTAAATTTTAATCCGTTATGTCAATCCGTTTTATTTTAATCGACAGTTGAATTACAGATTTTGAAAACACGGTTAAAATTAATTATTTCTTGCTATTTAGTAATTTCGTAATTAAAGAAATTTTTTCTTTTGAAAAATTTTTTGATATAAAAAAATTCGGTGGGTTACGTTGTTAAAAGCACCGTATTTTAATATAAGTTTTATAATTATGTCACCATTCGAAATGGAGAAAATTGCTTTCGAACACAGACCGTCTACAGACCGGCTTGCCGACATATAAAACCCCAGTTTTGCATTTTTGACCGTCTGCAGACGGCATTGCCGGTTCGTAGGTCAACATTGTGTAAGAGAAAGCTGAAAATATGTGTAAGTATATCGGCGAGCCCGTCTCCAGACGGTCTTGGTTTTTCTCCCCTGTAGGAAAAAGTTACTGTCACAGCTTGAAATGGACATCAGTTTTGGATATCTCGTGTTAAAATCACCCATTTCTGAATTTTTCAACTCATAAAAAAATTGGCCTACTAGAGGGTTAAATACCTACCTACATTTGTTTCTTTATTTATTATGATTATTTTGGTCCAATCTCAAAAAAAACTACTAGACACAAAAGAGGAAAGTATGCACTATAATTCTTAACAAAATTTTCGTGATTTGCTTTTGATGTTACATATCGTCACTTGAAATGAAAAAAGATGTAACAAACATCATCGTTGAAATGCAAAAAGTCAATATTCACGTTTTGATTTATATGAAGGATTTCATCGAATTACAATTCCCCACATTATTTTATAAAAAAGAAAATTAAAATATTAGTCACGACTTTTTCGCCTTCACTTACGATGTTGTTACGTCTTTTTGCATTTCAGGGACGATATCTTCGTTTCAATAATTTCAAATGGGGCTCTTTGGGGAATTTATTTTTAACAAACATTTTAAAAACAATAATTTTGTTTACTTGTCGCTGATGAAGTTACAGATTTCCCAAAATCTGAAACAGCCAAAGGAATGAGAATGAATAATTCTTTTTAAAAGGCTTTAGAAAAACCCGACATATCTGGTTTGGTTATGCTGGATTCTAATTATTTCTCAAAAATACTTGACATCCGCATCCGCGGATGCTAGCTGTTAGATATTCGCATCCGCATTCGCATACGCGGATGTCTAAAATTCCACATTCGCAACATCCCTAGTACATAGTATTCACCAGAAGTGTGAGCAAGAAGAATTTGTGCATGGCCGCTAAGGCAGGTTCTTAACCTCGCCCCCTTTCCCCTATTACCGCCCGAATGACTTCAAATATAGTTGTATATAAGCGGTTTATTGCATAATTTTATAATTATTTTTAATTTATTTTTCACTTTTTTGTTCATCTGTATTCATTTTTTTTTTTTGGTAAAAAACTTTAAGTCTATCAAAGGTATAGTATTTTTTTTTATGAAAGTGAAATTGAATGTTTAGCGCTAATAATGCTTTTTGAATTTTTGTCCTAGGTATGTATATGAGAAGTTGGTCAAAAATTCAATTGATTAAAATAATACAAATTTGTACAAAACAGGAATCGAAGTCTTACAAACTAACCCATTATTGCCCAATAAGTTCTCTAATTGCTGTCAAAAAATCATAAGATTCGAATGAATGGTTGCTGAATTATTGCAAAAAGTGTAAAGATTTGTTTGCAAATAACTCGTCAAAAAAATTAAATTAGTGCAAAAGTTTTGGTGTCAATATTGCACACCATGTTAACTTTCAAAATCAGTCAATGAAATATAAACTATCAAAAAGTCAACTTTGGGTAGCCCACTTGAGAAAACTTAACTCTATGTTAAAAGTCTTTCTTCGTTGAAGTGTGTCTTTCTTCGCGGTCAACTTTCGAGCTAACGTTTTTAGTCGTGTCTAGTGACGATATGTAATAACCCTTTTCCCTATATTATTACCTATGTCATTAGAACCGGAAAATTAATAGCGAAAAAATCAGGTCATAGTCGTAGTATTCGATTGCCTATACTTTTCTATCGGAAAGCCCTAACATTTTTACATAAACTTTTGCATACAACCCATACGTACTTAGAAAAAAATAACTATGCTTAAATAAATTACATAGAAATAATTTCAAACCACAGATAGAATTACTTCCTACCAAATTATTTTGCAGAGTAACTTACCTGGTGGTTGGGAACTAACACTGGAGGGGGAAACACTCGCCGTTGACGGCGCAACAATCTGAGTTTGGCCGGACGCCACTGCTGTGTTTTGTTGTTGTTGTTGTTGTTGTTGTTGTTGCTGCTGCTGCTGCTGCTGTTGTTGTTGCTGCTGGAGACTTGTTGACGCACCAGGAGGCACACTATTCGTTTGTTGCTGCTGTTGGTGGTGAGGTGATGTGAGATGCTGCTGCGTTTGTGAGACGATGCCTGAAGGCGTTTGGGAGGGACTGTGCCCACCGCCGACTGGTGTGGTAGCGAGCTGTTGCTGTTGAGGGGGCAGGTGAAGTGGCTGTTGCTGCTGTTGTTGTTGCTGTTGTGCGGAGACGATTGGCACTGAAGGGGGCTCTTCATACATAACCGCATGTGTGGGCGTGGAATGCGACGTTGGTGTCGTTTGTTGTTGTTGTTGAGGAAGTACGGCGGCCGTTGGGATAAGAGAAGAGGAGTTCGCCGTAACAGTTGGCACAGTATGTTGCAGGTGATGATGGTGTTGCAGGTGCGGATGATGGTGGTGGTGGTGGTGGTGATGCGGGTGATGATGCAATTGATTGATGGTGTTGGCGGCGGGTTGTTGGTGGATGATGGAGGCGGAAGCGGTAGCGGTTGGATGGGGAGCGTGATGATGTGGCCCCCACCAAGCCCCGGCAGCGGCGTGCGACCCGACTGCCGAGACATCGTGGGGGTCGTAGAGAGCGCACGCCAGCGGGATGGTTGGGGTTTGGGGGAGGGGTGGAATAATTACGGTTATTTTGAACGCGGTTTATACAAATGCAATACCGAGTGTTTTAATCGAATGGCGAGAATATGACAGGAATGATTACAGCGCGAGCGCAGATGTAAGAGGCGATGCGATTAAATAACGTACAAATTGAAAACAATTCAGTGTTGTCGCAGTCCCGATTGATGTTTAATATTGGAGTCGATTTTTATGATTTATTGTTTGTTTGCGATCAGTATATTTTTTCCATATTTACATATATGTACATATCGCAAAACCGGCGACCGGAATCAAAGAGTGCAAAATATACATTGAGAGCGGTTGAGCGGATATTTGTTAAGTCAGAGAGAAAACGTTTAATTTTTTCCGTAACAATCAGGCACACATACAAATAAAGATTTCAATGAAGAGAGCAATCGAAGAGCAACCAGTTATGACGGTGGTGGAATTATTCCGTAATAGTAGAACGAGTGTTCGTTTCGTATGGTCGAACAGGAGGAGAAAAAATTGTCATTACACGGAACATGTATCAAATTCAAGCATATTACATATAAATTATCCGAAGTTAATTTAGTTAAATTTAATTTGAGAATTTGTAATAATTTGTTTCATTTGCACATTTTTAATGTTTCATTAGCAATCAGCGATATTCCGTTAGGTCATTTATCAAATCAGTTGATTTTCATGTTAATGAGTTGAATAATTTATATTCATATTTTTTAAGATTTGTTTTCATTTTGATTTTTACCATTTAAATCAAAAATAGTTAACAAACGACAGTTTAGCATTTTGACGTCATTTTATTATCGTTCCGAATGAATAGTCGTAGTCGTTGATGATGTTGTTTTTGGTTTTGCAGTGTAGACAATATTTTTATTGGCGGTATTCCGGTGCAGTGTCCATAAAATGACACATGAACAGACGTACGAACAGGCGTAACGCGTGAGTTTACGATTTGTAGTGAAGAAGTAGTACATAAATTCGCGGATTGAAACAGACCCACGAAACAATTTAAAGTGCGTGGTTATGTATATTTTGTATTTATTATTGTAATAAATTTTTTTTATATATTTTGTATGTTTGTATTCGTTGTAAATTAATGTGGTCGGGAGAGCATGTGTTCAAGTGGCGTTTATGGCCATATATTATGTGTTGTTATTGTAGCCGGTGTCGATAATAAAATTCCATTTTACGATCAAAACAAACACAAATTTTTAATTATTTTTTTTGTATTTGTCATTTTTACCGAGTACAGATTAATGTCGTTTTGATAGTATTATTTTTGTGATGTTTAATTAGTTGTGGAAGAGACACAAGTTGCAGGTTGGTTTTGATTGTGGATGGCATCACATTTTGTGAAAGAGAAAAAGCGTTTTGTTTAGTTTCTCGAATACCTGAAGTTTGATGTTTACTAGTTTATATTACTACTTTCTAATATGTTAGTTTTGACACCAAAAATACCGAATTCATCAGAACACTTGACACACTAATTTGTATAATTTCATTAAAAACTCCATGATATTTTCTCAGTGGTCTGCATTGCATGTGCTTTTTCGTTTTCTGATTGGAGAGAACCACCTATGAACTCTTATAACAGGTCAATTCAATGAAAAAAACATGATAGACTTAAATCTCCATACTTTCCGTTGAGTAAATATTCGTTATAAACTGTATTTCACGTTACAATATGAAAACGTTAAACAGCCAGACTTTTAGCCCTTATGTCTGATTAGCAGCCTTATTGGAAATCCGAAGTCCACAACGCTCTAAAAATCACAACACAAGGAAACTAACTGTGAGCGAGACCGCGCGCCCTTCACTTGAATTACATCGAGTTTTTTTCGAAACTTTTTTGTTGAATTTCGAATGGCTATAGCAGCGTTGTGTGGCGTTAGGTTGCACGTTTAAGCGCCGTATTTTTCGTACCATGCGATGCGGAGCACAAATCTACACTAAAAACAGAGATTCTTTTGTCAACACACAACACACAATCGAATTGAAATGACTGCCTGCCTACGACATTCCTCCGCGCAGCACCGTGCCACTTCTCATCGCTCGCGCCTCAACACACTTACTCACGTCGTTCACGGAGCGTGTGTCAGCCCCCGGCTGGCAAGCATATTCCGAAACAGCGCCAGCGCAGTAACAAAGCCACGCTGTTTCAAAGGCGGCGCACTCGAAGTGCGAACAAAAGCAAACGGGAGCAACAGCAACTAGCGAGGAAATTCATTGTCGCTGGCAGTGAGCAAGCTCCCAAAATTTACGTAAGTATACTCGCGTGCATGTGCTATCGCACTTGTATGCGCTTCCATGTCGTAAGTAAACATGTACGTGCACCGTAGAATGCACAACAGGACACTTTCGCATTCATACAAACACACACGCCATGCAATTGGAATCCAAATTTTTGATACTCGCCGTACTTGTGAATAAATAGTGAATTTTCCTAACATGGCTTTGTTGCTCTTAGCAGACGGTTGTACCGAATGCTCCATCAGTGTAGAAATAATAATAGGTGGCAAGATCTATACATAGATATATATATATATATATATATATATAAACCTTGAATAGGTGGCTGCTTTTATTTTGTAAGCAGCAGAGACGAGAGTGGTGAGGAGTAAAGAGAAAAATTTTGATTCGATAAACATATGCATGCGATAGGAGTGAAGTAGACTATTTTGAGAATAAAGGAATAAATTGAGCGTATGTATGGAAATTGTGGCGGAGTAGGCATATCCGCCCCAGCTCATATTGAGTTGTGTACTGCGGGGCCACATTTGCTTTCAGCAGTTACGCGCTGTCGCTTCGATTCACACGTACAGGGTATACGTATATGCTGTGTACATGCACGTTTATTTGCGTGTGTGTTGATGTTGATTGCGCGTACTTCCTTCACTTGATATTTCCTATTTAAATACACTTAATACATACATAAACATATTCAGAAAGTGGTTAATACTGCAAGTCGTTCTCCCTGTACATTCTCTCGACCAAAAAGAGCATGGATTTTAACTCTTTTCATTTTACAGTACGGCAGACACTTGTATATGTATGTATGTACTCCTACGGTTTGAAAAGTACTCTATAATCTAAAAAAAAAACAAAGTTCAAAACATTCCGAACGAAAATAAAATCGAAAAAGCAGTCCATAACTATTGAGAAATATAGATTATAGATGATTTATCATAATCCCTGACGTAGAATTATGTAAGTTGATGTGAAAAAATATAATTTGCAATCAATTTAATTCGGAAACTGAATTCAAAACCAACAAGGAACGCAGACATACGGAAATTGTACATCTATCTCTGAGTATACAATTCATTAGAATTTTGTGGGAGCCTAATCGCAAGTGAATATACACAAACCAGGCACTGAACGAAAAAAAGCAAAGTGCATGCGCTTTATCAATTCTCTATATAAACCTCTCATCATGGGAGAGTAACTTGATTGCGAGCAGCTATGTTGAGTCATGGGCCTTTAAAAAACTGTACGAACTAATTCTCATAAGGGCTCCATCTGTATTTAAAAGTTCGCAGCATGCTCCCAACCCAACCAGAGTAGTGCACAGTAGCGGTTTATGTTCCGACAATACGAATAAATATGCCATACAAATGTACTCCAAATTCTCGGGCATATATGTATGTATACATACATATGTACATACACATATCCATACATGCATATATTTATGTACATACCCTGCAGCAAATCAAACTGGTTCAGAACTTGCGCTGAGCTAGCCTGAAAAGGGACGGTACTGGTTCTTCATCTATCCCAACTCAATGCTTGCAACTGTCTTTTTTAACATGGCGATGTCCTACGAAGTGACAATTGTCGCCCTCTGCAGAACTTTTGAACTTGTTCTGAGCTGACTCTGGCTTAGATGGTTCTGGTACAGTTCATATAACAACAGTTCTTAGATAGTTCAAAAAGGGTCACCTCCGGGATAGAAAAAATGTGGTTAGTTTTGAACTGGTTCTAATAAGTGTAGTATAGGGCCTTTTCTTTAAATAAGCACGCACACAATTTTGTAAATAAAAATACTTCATTTTATGTTTAAAGAGCTATTTGTTTTGAACTAATTTACTTTTTAAGCATACTGTGTGTCAATTATTCCTTTATTTTCTAAAACCGTTATTCTTAAAAATAATTTATATTTGTTACGTATAATGGGTATTTCTGGGATACCTATAATTAAAAATCTGAACTAAGTCGTGTCAAAAAATGAGAAAAACAATGATATATTGAACGATTATTTGTGATAACTCAGCGTTAAATTGGATTAAATTTATTGAAATGTAATACATAGAATTTCCGGCATCTCATAAGAAATATAGAATTTTGAATATTTACAATAGTTTTCATGCTAAATATTTTTCGTAAATTTTTTATTTAAGGATGGCTCATAAGTATTATAATATCAACAAATAAATCCACGTTTCTAACTGTGTTGGAAATTTAGTAGAATTGTAGAAACTGTTATAAAAACTTCAATATTTTAAATCAGTTTATGAGTATGCAGTTCTATAGCCCATTAAATTTTGGTATAATTAATCGCGCTGATTTTTTATAACTCTTTTTATGCGCGCTCTTGAAGGCATTCTCATATTTAAATATTTTCGCTTAAGATGCAAAATTACACTTTACTAAACTAAAATTTGATGGGCTACAAAACAGAATACTCGAAATAGTTCTATCAAGTTTGCAGCACAGTTAGGAATTTGGATTT